GATTTAAACCAAAAAGGAGAGGCTTAACTCTGAGGCAAATCAGAAGGGACATAATACACATGTGGTAGCCCTCCTTCTGAAGCTAAGCATTTTCAGCATGGTGTAATTTATGAAGCTTTCTCAAAACCATCGTTATTGATCTTATAGATAGAACAAATCTAAAAAAAAACATGAACTCATATACATGTATGTGCATGTGTAGGTACATGTGCAATATACACTGCATAGAATTGCCTTTTAGTATCTTCTATGGATTTTCTTTCTTCACAGATGTTAACATCTCTCTTGCAACAGATGTGTATCTATATTTTTATTATCTAATTAATTATCTGCATAACAGATCACATTTCAAATTCCAATATACTGTCTTACCTTATTTTACAATGTCACTATATACTACAATAGCAGAATGATGGATGTGTGACAATTGCTGAATTGCTATACTATTGTAATAACATACAAGAAAAGAGGTGGGGGATACTAGGGCACATGCTCCTATATCTATAGAAGTGTATTTTTTATTGTTAATAACATTGTATTATTTGATACAGTTTTATAGGCACTGGGGTTCCCCCCCACCCCTGCCACACCTTTCCCCCATGGTGGGTTTCTCCACCTTGCCTGCATAACCACAGTTCAAGTTCAGTTGAGATTCCTTCATTGCAAGCATATACCTAGCATAGAGTCCAGCATCTTATTGTCCAGATAAGTTCAGCGGCTTCTTAGGGAGATCTTCTCTGGTCTGAAGGTAGAGCTAACAGAGTAAAGTCCCGGTCAGTTAAAAGCCCCAACAAAACATCAGCAATAATATACAATGTTATGGAATTAATTGACATAGTATTGAGTAAACAATATGTTAAAAATAATGCAAGTTCAATTCTTCAAAACATCTGGGTTGAGACAGTATCAATGACAGATTCAAAAATAAGCAAACAAAAAAAATTACAGGTTAAATTAAGGCAAACAGGTGGTATCTAACTTTTTGAGATTCATTCATTTCCCTTAGCATTATAGTTTCCATTTGGGCACATTTAGCCACAAAGAACTGCATTTTTTTTTAATAGCTGAGTAGTATTCCATGGAGTAGATGAACCAAAGCTTTCTTATTATAGAAGTGTATTCTGAAAAATTTTAAATAAATAAAATTTTATTATTTATTTATGTGGAAAGCACAGTGACAGAGGAGAAAGAGAAACATCTTCTGTTTGCTTGCCAGGATTGAGGAAGAGACTGGACATAGAGAGGGATCTTCTATCTGTTGGTTCACTCTCCAGTTGAACACAAGTCCTAGAGCCAAGACAATCGGAAGCCAGGAGCCAGGAGCTTGTTTCTGGGGCCCCCAACTACTTGTACTACCCTCCACTTCCTTCCAAGGCTGTAAGCTGAAAAATTGATTTGGAAGTAGAACAGCTGGAACTCAAACTGGCACTCAAGTCGGATGCTGGTACTACAGGAGTAAGATTAGCTGCAGTGCCAGCATGTCAGCCTGTTAATTTTGTTTTCTAAATATGATTAAACAATTCAAGAAAAAAAGCCAAAGGGGAATTGCTCCTAGAAAACATTACAATGACTGTGGACCCAGGCTCAAGTTTCTGGGATGTGATACACAATGAATTTCAACACATTGGATGATGCAAATTTATTGAGATCCTGTTCCTATAGTTCTTTGTTTCAACAGCATTAACAGTTAAATAATTAGAGAAGGCATTAAAAAAAAGTTGTGTGAGTATCATATCTGGAATGGCTAGCACACCAAACAGTGGGAGCAGTCAGCTGTGTTAATTAGATAATTGAGAATTGACCTGGGAATTATTTTGATGATACTGGCAGAGTGCTTTCAATGGATCTGTGCAGACGAAAGTCTGATGCATGCAGGTTCTGGAATGGATAAAATGGATGGAACGAAGCTCGAAACATTGAAGAAGCAATTATTTAAGTAGGTTATTTTCTGTTAATTTGGTACTTCTAGGGTTATTATACACAAAGATTAAAGAACGGGTTAAAAGTTGCCATGAAAGAAGTCCTTAGGTTATTAAAGCGATAGAAACAGCATTTTTAGTGGGAGTTTCTCACAAATGGAGTTGTTATTTTGTGAAACGTATAACCCAAAATATAAAGCTACCACCTCCAGAAAGATTGCGGAGTCTAAGAGGGCAACTGGTTTTTAGCGAACAGTCTTGATTTTCTAAGAAGGTAGGAGGAGCAGCAGAATAATAGTATTCATGTTGCTCCAGTGTTAGAATTGAGAGGAAAAGGCAAAGCACCCCTATCTTAACAAAGAAAAACTGCATCTTAACATGATTATGTGACTTTTCATAAATCTTTTGTTACATCTACTATTGATTTTTTTTCTTGACATGAATTTGAAGTGCTTTCTTAGGAATTTATGTCAAAAAAAAAAAACCATAAAGCACCTCATTATGTGGCAAGCTAGAGTAGATACTTCTGTAGGTAGTGTATAACAGTGTTCACTATAGTGGGAGTTGAGGGAAGCGAGATTGACATGCTTAAATAAAGGTTACTGTAGTGGGTAACAAAATATCAAATGGGTTTAAAAGTACAGATGCATGTATTTATTTTGATTTGCATCTAATATCGCTGGCATTGAGTTCTTAATGTCTCTCGTATGATTTGTACATGTGTCCTGCCGTATCAAATCGTATTTAGCATATCTGTCTTAACCATAAGTTGTTATATATCTGTACACATTAAACTTGGAAAACCTCAGACATTTTTGTTACAGGAAATCTTTTATTTTGAAAATAAAGCTTTTCTCAGCCTCCAGCTTTTTCTGAAGGAAGAAATCATGTTTAAAAAGTGCTTTTCACTTAAGAATTATTTTCCTTAACACTTTGGCTGCTTATAATATTTTAATTTAAAACCTAATTTACAGGATACTCATTTTTGCCTTTGATTGGTGGATGTGCAGTTCCCACAGGCAATCTACATTCTAAAACTGAAAGATAGTGACCGAGGGTTATATTATTCCTTTGATGTCATTCACTGCTCTACTGCAGAGGTTTAGGGATGACATAAGTCTTACAGGATGGAAGGGTTTACATGTGTGCCACAGTCATGTCGTGAATAAATTCATTTTGCTTATGTTGCATATTTCCTTGGAAAGATTAAGAGAAGATAGGGTGCTGTTAGCTCACACTTGGCACTGCCACTCTATCTTTTCGCATTCTAAATTGACATCACAGGTTCTATTGTTTATTTTAATGTATCGCTACTAATAAATAATCCTGTCTATGCTCAAATCAGCTCTCACATTCTGCATGGTTGAACTGCTCTCAGATGACTCCTGCCTCTTGAGAATTTCAGTCTGATCCTTTGCCTGTGTGATTCTCTCCGTAGAACGTGTGTTAACCATGAAATCACGCCAACCTTCTCACTACACCTTACCGACCTAGCAAATGAAAAAGTCTTAAAAACTCTCTTTTGCTTTCCCTGAGCAACCTCTGTTTGTGTTTTTGCATATGACAATGGCTATTTATTTCCAAGTCTGGGTCACCTTCTCTGTTCCTGTTTGCAAAAGGCTTGTGTTTGTGTTTATCTGCAGATGGTTCTTGTGGGTAATATGTAAATTCTTTTATTTTGTAGTGAAAATAATTGTATACACATGATGTTTTTTTTTTCTGCTTCACACTCCCTGTGATATATCTGTAGAAAAGACAGCCATGAAATATTTGTTCTTTCTAAATGTTGAATGAGTATAGATATTTCATAGATATTACATAGTTGACATGTCCTATAAATATTACATAGTTGACATGTCCTATAAATATTACATAGTTGACATTCACCTATTTTTCTGAAATCAGCAAAATATCTGAAAATATAATGCCCTTATCGTATAATATATTCAATTACATGAAACAATATAGAAAATATAGTGAATTCTGCTAATAGCTGAAACTCATTTGCTTTCCATGGTTTACAACTTGACAAAAGCATCCTAAAATATTTTTTTATTTGGATAGAGAAAGTAACATTTCATAAATAAAAACATTATATTCAAGCTTGACAAAAATATTTCCCTGCTTCATACCATAAAATTGTGTGTATTTAATATTGTTTTGTTGAATAAAAAAAGGATGTGTTTATATAATGAGCCTTCTGGAAGTACTGGAGTTCTTCCTGTTAAATAGAAAACCTAGAAACTATGTAATAAATGCTTGATTACTATTATAAACAGACTTACTGTTGAATATGCTTCTAGCTAATGAACGGAAAGTAGGTTAAAGAATATCCTCATGAAAAAAATTTTGTAAGGAATAAGAAAACTACTTCAAAACTTTTGCAGAGAAAATGTCAAGCCTTCATTTACTATCTTATGTTCTATAACTTTTTCAAGTGAATTATTTTCATAAAGATAATATTTCAATTAAAAATAATAGAAACTAAACTCAATATAAAAGTTACAAAAAATATTCTGGTTCACATGTGATGAACTGACATTCTGGCAAGCAACCTTTTGATTTGCTCCTATTTCAAATGCAAAACATTTAATTTAGTTTATGGCAGCTAAGGAAATGAGAAAGCAGCAGTAAACCATGCAGCAGCACAACCTGGAGAAAAATTCATGTCTCTGTCTTCAACTGTTAGGTGGAAAATAATCGTATCTGTTACAGTTCAATATGTGAATAATAAATGTGAAGTCCTTAAATAATACCTCAGCTACAAATAGCAGCATCTTAAAGCTTATGTGACTTTAGTCCTTGGCTTAAAATTCAATATTCCTTCCAAATTGAAAGAATAGTAGCAAAACAATTGTTATAATTACTTAATTTTAGAGGAAGATTTTTAGAGGAAATTGGTCCTGGGGAACTTTTATCTATTTTTATAAAAGTTTATTTTTTTATGCATGTGCCTATGGGAGTAGACCCTTGTTAGCCCAACTGTTTTGACTTACTGGGCTTTTGTTAAAAAGCCTTTTCTCTCAATAGTCTCTCTAGATGTGGAATAGTTTGTCACAATTATTTGGTAATCTCTTTCAGTGTAATTCACACAGCAAAAGTGACAATATTCCTGTCACTCCTCAGAAATGTCCCAGCTCTGCGGGTCTCCACGTTCAGGAGAGTGAAGAAAGCCATTCTGAGGTATGCCCTAACTCAATAGAGAGCATGATGAAACTAAAGAATTTTATTTTGCTTGTGATTTTAAATTTTCTGTGGAAACTATCTCAATAAGTTCTTTGCCATTCTATTTAATAGTCACATTTTAATACCAGTGCTTTTTGAAATAAGTTCCTTAGCAATTTCAGAGCAAAAACTCAACAGTAATCTTTTTCATCTTGACTAATGGCCCAACTATTAAACATAATGTTCATGAGATTGAATAAAACGTGTTGATATTTCTTCTTATTGGAAAAAAATCATAACTTTATTTTGATTCTTTTTATTAGTTTCCTAAAAGATATGCAAATCGATGATGGCTGGTTGTTTTGCTTCATCCTCTGTATTGAAGGAAGATTTTGAAGTACTGCTTAATAGCAACTAGTTAAATTGAAAATTTCACTAATTATCTCTTTTGTTTAACATTTTTTTCTGTTTTTTTTTTTGCATTTCTCTGTATGTCTCTACTTAAAAGAAATAATTATTTTCCTTTAGAAACTCTGAATTCAACTATAACAAAATATTAAAAAATCTATAATAGTTTTTCCTTTATGTAATTACCATTCCAGTACCAATTATTCCAACAAGGCTGGATGCAGAAATATGTTACTTTTTATTTATTTTAATTGCGTTTAAAAGCACATGCATATAACTTACCAGTGTGATTATTTTTACACTTACAATTCTATCGTGTTAGGTACATTACATTGTGCAATGGAAATTCTGCGTTAATAAGGGCATATATTTTCATAGCTACCTTTAATATTAAGTCATACTCTTGTATCTACTTTCTACCATCATATATTAAGAAGGTCGTCGATAATATATGCAGATCAATCCGTTAGTGTACATGTCCGTGTTCTGATTTGCCTGAGTGTAGGGCTTCTCCCGAGTCCCTACAGTCTGTGTGGTTTCGCTATTCATAGTCTGAAACTTTAGGATTCATCTTGTCTCTGCTATATAAAGGACTCGTTCTCAAAACCTCCAGCATTACTATAGAGTGGACAAAAATGCTTTAGCGGTAGAATCTTTGTGATCAATGCAAGTTCCTTTGAGATGAGTAACTAGTGGAAGCCAGATGGATAAAACAATATCTGAGACAGTCTCAAATATTCCTAACATGCTACCTGTAACTTAGATAAAACGACTATTATGTACACATATTGAAATGTTAATACCAGTTACTAAAAATTTGGCACCATGCGCTACTCTAACAAGACAAAATTTTACCACAATTTGTTATTGTCAGGGAAAATGCTATCAATTAAATGCTACTGGCTACTTTTTATGACATTTGTAAGGCACTTCCTACAGTCATGCTTCGGTTTTCTTTTCCCGTCCTATTTCTGTAAATGGATGAAACAGATCATTACAATTGTTAAAGTACAGAAATGCACACTGTTTTTATACCTAAAGTACATTTCACCTGTATAAAGCAACTTGCATGTATAAATTATATTGCTATTTTCTTTTTATCAAACAGAATCCCTTTACTCATGGTACAGTGTAGAATGCCAAGAGAAGAAGCTTTCAGTGAGTGTATTCTATGATCTGCAGGAAAATGTCTCATACTGAACAGAATTCACACCAGGCTGCATCTCAGTATGAGTAGCTGTTTCTGTTTTTGATGCTTGAGCTAAAGAATTTTTATAAAATGGTCTACCATATGAATTTTTGAGATAAGTCTTTTCCCTTGTAGGGATAAAATCTCAAAAATCAATGTCAGATGAGAATCTTAGTTATAAGAGTTAGAAGGATTGGTGGAAGGATTTTAAAATAAGTGTGAAGTTTAGCTGCCAGACTTTGAAAATGTAGCAGTTATCATGAGTGTGAAATTCATGGGTGCAGATGGCTGATTCAGATAGCCCATGATGGGCCACTATAATCTCCACAGCAAAATTGAGAAACCCATTTTGATAAGAGAATCATTTTAACTTTTTACATTAATTTATAACACAACTTTCACTCCATTCCCAAATTTATGGAGAGACATTGTCACTAATTTCAACTAGTTTCAAAACTGCCAATTGTGTGAAAAATTATGAGTAAATATTTAATTGGATAAAAATACATCAGTAATAAATGGATTTGTGTGGGAAGAGAGCTCAGATTTAACTTTGTGTAGCCTAAGTCTTGGATTTTACATCTGCAAACATACGTTAAAAAATGATTTTCATGGTACATATAGCTTGTCCTAATTAAAGAGAAAATTACTGTTCTATATTGAATATATTGAAAATGAAAGGCAAACTAAATGCTAGAGGATAAAGGGAATCCATGTTCACAACACAACCTAGATATTAGCTTCTTTACTTATTTACTTTAAAGAAAACAACTGACAGGTATAATTGAAAAAAGAAGATCTAGTGAGCTTTGCAATTTACAGGTTCACAGTTCAAGATCAAACTGGAACTTAGCCTCCTGTCTAGTGCAGGGTGACAGAAATGGAACATGTCTGGAAGAATGATCCCATGTGTGCAAAGCAGCAGATACACAAAAAGCCCTCTCCTGCATGTCAACAACCTTCTGTCAACAGCTCCTTCTGCACCCAAGTCCTCAGTGATTCAGAGACCTCCCATGAGGTTCACAATTTAATGTCATAATCAACATTATTCCCCACATACAATGCATCAAGTGTTACCATAAATTTGAGAATTATTGTCTTCATATCTTTGAAAAACAATGTCCGATTCAATATACAAAAGCATAGGACTCTATTATTTGAAAAATACCAAGCAAATTAAGAGTGATATTATCAGCCACTTTCAAAATACTAAGAAAAGGAAAAATACACTTGCAAATGTTTTGTTTTGGCCCTACTCTATGTGTATTTGTTTCTGTTACTTTCTGTTTTAGAAATATATTCATATGCTAAATAGGATTGTGTATTACTTTCTTGTATTTGTTAGGTTTTGGTATATTATATTTAAATTGCAATCATCTTGATACTTGCCTTTCTACACTTGGCTTATGTCATTTGCTGTAGTGACCTCCAATTTCATCCATGCTGTTTGCGGATGACTAGGTTTTGTAAATTTTATGAGTGGCGTTCAAATGAATATGTGTATCCCATTTTTTAAATGTATGCGTTAGTGAATGAACACTGTGCATCGACTGTGCTGTGACAAATATTAGAGACTTGATGTCTCTTCAGCAGATGGATCTTATCCCCCATGGGTATCATCTACTCATGAGTGGGATGGCTGGATCATATAGTACAAATGATTTTTGTAGAAATTTTATTTGAAAAGTAAATCTCACAGAGAGAGTGACAGAGAAATTTTCCAGCCTCTACTCTACTCTCCAAATGGGCGCAAAAACAGCCAAAGCTGAGTTGGTATGAGCTGATAGCTGGGAGTTTCTTCTGTGTGCCCCACATGGGTGCAGATGCCCAAGGCCCCTAGGAGCTCAAAGAGCTAAATGGTAAGTGGATCAACCAGGACACAAACTGGCACACATTTATGATGCCGGTGCTAGCAGACAGATGCCATCAAGCCAGCCTTGGCCGTAATCTTTAAAATCTATATGAATATATTACATATACATTCAATTTTCATTGGAAAGTCAGGTATGTAGAGAGGTGGAAAGACAAGCAAGGAGCTAGATGGGAAGTGGGGCTACCGGAATTAGAATTGGTGCTCGTATGGGATCCCAGTGTGTACAAGGCGAGGACTTTAGTGACTAGGCTACTGTGCCAGGCCCTGCAGATATTTTTATAATTGATGAGCTTCAAAACAGTTTTTACACAATGACAATATTACTTGATATTCCTACTGGTAGTGTGCAAGTGTTTCCTTTTTTCCACATCCTTGTCTACACTGGTTGTGTTTTGTCACTGTGACAATAGCAAGTCCTACTGGAGTGTTATCTTATTATATCCTGGATTTGCATGTCCCCGATGATTTGTGACATTGAACAATTTTATATTCTTTCTAACCATTTATATACATTTTTTAGAAGTATCTATTTATACCTGTTACCCATTTTTTAATCGGATTGCTGGTTTTTGGCTATTGCATTCTCTGTGTATTCTGGGTATTAGCGACTTGTCAGATATATACCTTGTAAGTATTTTTCTTTCATTCTGGAGGCTCTCTTCATATTGCTAACTGGTTTGTGTGTGTGTGTATGTGCTATGCAAGTGCTTTCATTGAAGAAATCCCATTTGTCTGTTTTGTTTTGATTTTTGGTACTTTAGAGGACTGATTCAGAAAATCTTTTCCTTTTAATGTTTTGAAATATTTCCTCTAAATTTTCTTCTAATAGTCTCTAAGTCTTAGGTTTCACAATGTATAGTAATATATTTGGACTTGAATTTTCAAAATCCTGAGAGGCCTTCTCTTTGGCAGGCTTTAAACCAATGCTTACAGTGGCATCATCCCATATGGCCTCTGCTTCAGGTTTGGACTGTATTGCATTCTATCCAAATGCAAGCTAATGTGCTGGGAAAGAAGCAATAGAAGGCCCAACACATTGGTTCTCTGCATCCAGGTGGGACATCAGGATGACCCTCCAAGCTACTAGCTTCAGCGAAACCAGCCTTGGAAATGCAGAAATCCTGTAAAATGGCTTTCATTACTATGAGTAGTTTAACAGTATTGACTTCCACATGAAATCATAAGATTTCTTTCGACCTTTTTGCGTCCATTTAAGTCTTTTTCACCAGTGACTTGGAGTTTCTTGGGTAGATGTGTCTCAACTCTTTATTTCCACAGGTCTTTACTGCCAGCCATTTAGAGAATTAATTCCATTTCTTCTTAAATTATTTTTCAAAAGAGAAGCAGGTGGAAATCCTTTAAAATCATTCTGTTATGACATTACCTTGATACCAACCAGACAAGGTTACAATAAGGAAAGGAAGGGTACAGAAAAAATATTATTAAAAATATAGATGGAAAAATCCTAAAGCAAATGCTAGCAAATAGGAACTAATGGCACATTAAATTGGTTTATCAGTATGATTACGTTTAACTTTTATTTGGGAT